TCTCCTAAATCACTCGTACGCACAACTTAAGAACAAATCTGTGCGTACGAACGGTTCTTGCATGAGGACCAATGAATCTGCTGATCAAACTTAGTTTCCTTCTCACTGACGATGCAAGTGCCTGTTAGCTGACTGACGTGCATTTTATGTGCCTCAGCTGTCTGTGCACCTCACAAGTGTGCGGTCACTGATGTGCGTTAACATGTGCAGTACATGTGACAGAAATCACAGGCCCCAGATGTTTCTGTAGCTCGACTGGCGTACACCTGAGCAGATCGGACATGATTTGGAAATAGACACACCTGCCTGTATGAGGTCTCATAGTTGAAAGAGCATGTCAGAAAACTAACCAAGCAAGACCTCAGAGACAGGACTGTACCAAAGCACAGGAATGAAAGGTACAGAACCATTTAAAGTCACAGTGAGTACAGTGAGCTACATCAGCTCTAGATGGAAGAAGCCTGGAACCACCTGAGGCACGTTGGACAAAAGTAGGATCAGGAATTAACCCAGGATTTTCATGCTATCCTGGAATAATTAATACTCAGTTCGTCTGCAAAAGAGGAGGAACATGTGAAAATAACCTGGTCCCGATCTGGTTAGAAGTGAAGCTTTTTTGAACGTGTTATTGTTTGTGAGCAGCACTCTGATCAGAAATCTGTGTTTCATAAAAACATTCAATGTTCTTATAACATATCTGTCTCATTCTTTTTACTTTGTGTTAAAATATCACAGAACAAATGTGTTAATATTGTGTTATAAGGATTGGCAGTGAAAAAAAATTAAAAATAAATTCAAATTTATTTCACGTCTCAGAGCCTGTGGGATAAATGTCAAGTTCATCCCTGTTCTCCTCCTCGTCCCCCACTAGACTGTATGGTGCGGTGTGAGGGTCGAAATGAAGACTATCGTGCAACCGGCACAAAGGAAATTGGAATTTTAAACAAAGCCATACACCAGTTGAATTATGCTGCGTTCACACCGAACGCGATTTCAGCTTCAAAATCGCATCCAACGCTTCAAGTTGGTCGCTTGTGCACTTTGAGGTCAGACGCAAGACAGCTTTTGAAGCGCTGCACAAGAGCCTCCCCGCCCCTCCCTCCTCTGTCGGGCTCTGTTTAATGTCGGACGAGGAAGTGGCTTTGCTTTATTTACAGAGAGCAAGAGCATGTCACGTTCATCAGATAATTAATTCATAATTAATTCACCAGATAATTCAGGGACATTCTGAGTTTCATCACCCAGGAGCTGCGRGAGAGGCTCACAGCTCGCTTTCAGGACTATTTTTGTCCCGAGTCCAGTCTGATGAGCCGCTGCCACACATTGGTGCGGATATCTCTGTCAGGACAGCGACTGCAGGCACTCGATTTCAGCTAAAGAGCTCCTCTCCGCGTCGAGCTGCAAAAGTTCAGATTTTCTAACTTCAGCGATTTGTGCCTCAGCACGTCGAACGCTCAGATCGTTCAAATCGTTCAAATCGTTCAAATCGCGCTGCTCTAATCACGCTTGAGGCACCGCAGCACTTCCCGACGCTGATTGAAGCGCCTCCACCATAGACTTTGTATGCAAACCTGCTGCTCCTGATGCTGAAATCGTGGTTGGTGTGAACGCACCGTTACTGTGTGAATGCTGATTCAGCATTAACACTACTGCCTTCCAAGGGCGTAACTTTGGGTCTACCATTCATGTGTGTGTGTGTGTGTGGGGGGGGGGGGCTATGCTCTCTGCCTATTGATTTATTTATTTAATCATTTACTTTTGTAAAACAATTCAGGATATTTGGGGGTTAAATTACATTGAAACGTTTTTACTGTGATTTAATTAACCTGCTTGTTTTCTTTCTTGTCTTTCTCAACATCAGTTTGACAATTCAGAAAAGTCTTACGTTTTTCCTTCCATTTTTACCAACAGTAACAACTAGCAGAAACTAGTAAAAATTACAATACAAGTCAACAAATGCATCCAAATGCGACAAGAGCAGACTGAAACCCTGCATGTTATTTTCAGCAGTTCTGCTTAAACAAACATATATGACAAAGTTACCTAAAGACAGCTGTGAACGGAACCAGTTCATTTCAATTGTGTTTGAGCAAATGATGTCATTTTATTGGGGGGTTATATTGACTGGATCAAAATATTGTGGGGGTCATAACCCTCCAAACCCCACTGCAAATTACGCCTATGCTGCCTTCCAGTCTGCTGAATGACACTTTATGCTATTTTAGCCGTTCACCCAAATGTTCATCTCATTCAGGAGATGGGTGCCATGGCTTTTGATAATATTTTTACTTACTGAAATATAATTTTTTATTTATAAATATATTTTTCAATAATATATTTAGATCCTTTCAATTCCTCCACAAACACTGTTCTCTTGGCTCTGTTTTTGTATGCTACTTTTAGCTTTTAGCTTCCTTTATCTCCATTTAGCGAGCTTCTTGCGAATTTTGACTTTTAGCTAGCATTCTGTTTCTTTTAACTTTAACAGCTCTGTTTTAGCTTTTTCAACTAATTCCAGCAAATTCAGTCAGCTCTCAGTGTTCACAATGGATTTTCACAAAGAAAAAAACTTTTTGGTACATCAGGCTCCAGGTTTGGGGGCACCTTAAGAAAGCTTTTCTGCTGCGCCTAGAAAAATACACTTTAACGTGTGTCACACATAAAGGAACCGATTTATCTGTTATATGCAGAAAAAGGAAAGAGTTTAACTCAAGCTCATCTCAGAGGAATAAAACGACGGCAGGCAGTACAACAGTATAAATATTCTTACACATTTAGAGCTTTAGATAACTGTGTATCTGTAACTTTTCTGTGATATGCTATGACTCATTTGATTCTGTAATGATGATGAAGAAGATGATGATGACGATGTGTGTGTTGCAGGATGTGGAGGGCCCCCAGGCTCTGTGTGACCTCTGCTTGGATCAGGTGTGCTTCAGTCTAGAAGCTTTGTGCAACAAACGAGGCGACGGCTCCATGAGTCTCATCTGGGCTCCAGTGTTCCCCCAGGAACTGACCGACCAACTGCTCCAAAACATGACAACTAAAGGTACGCCTGGAAAACTAAAAACATACGTCACTTTCAAACAAAAAATCAAATTAAAACCTCCTCAGTTTCAGGAAATGACTCAGTGAGAGCAATAGAGAAAATCATTTTAGCCCCTAACTGACAGAACCATTATTATTTTCACTCCTTACTATCTTTGTAATTAGATGATTTATGCTTTTTCTGCACTTGAAGTTACAGCTTGCCAGGCTGAACCTGTAGGAAAAGTTCCCTCCACAAACATGAGTGTGGTTTAACTGAGGCTTCTGTCTCCTACAATGTGTCTCTGTTCTCTTCTCTCTGCTATAGGGATCCTGAATGACACAACTGTTGGAATTTTCCGAAACTGTGAGAAGCTCCGCCTGCGCCGAGCCTCCATCCGCCGCTGCCCGGTGTCGGCAGAGGCCTTCCGCCTGGCCCTCTGCCCTCACCAGCTCCTGGAACTAGACGGCTCCTGGGTGTCGGGGGGGCTCAGCGGGGCTGACGTCATCTCGGGCCTGGCCGGCAGCTCCCAGTGCAGGGTCAGCCTGCAGGGCTTGTCCCTCAGCGGTTTGCACCTGGACTGGGGAGCTCTGGAAGCAGATGTTGGGGCTTGTGGGAGCCTCGGCTCCTTACAGAACCTCAGAATGCTCCGCGTTGACAACACAGACTTAACAGATGATATTCTTGAGGAAATCTGCTCCCTTCCACGCCTGGAAACCCTGGATATCTCCTGCAGTACCGTCTCAAACCTCAATGCTCTCATTAAGTGCAAAAATACCCTGAGATACTTCATCGCCCACAGATTGAAGCAGCTGGATATGTCACCTGCTAGTTTACTGTTTGTCTTTAGTCAGCTGAACGTACTCAGACATTTGGACTTTTCAGAAGACCACTTTGCTGTTGATGACAGTGATGGGAGAGGTGCTGATGAGATGTTGCAGCAGCTCTTAGAGGGGGGTCCTCAGGTCCTCCCCTCGCTCGTTTCTTTAGACATATCGGGGAGGAAGAGGCTGACTGAAGCTGCACTCAGAGCTTTTGTGGAGTCCAGGAGGGGGTTGGCATTTATTGGCCTGCTCGCCACTGGACTCAGCTTCTGTCACGTCCTTTCATCGCGTAAAAATCTGAAAGTAAGTACCTGTTTCTGGCACCAAGCATGTGGTTTCATCAGGGGAAATCTGACTGTCGCAGTTTCTTCTTGACTCAAGGTTCCGTTTGTGTATCTTCTGAATATGCACTCTGTGTTCTCCGCCGCTTCGACTCTGCTGATCTGGGGTGTGTGTGCTCAGGTAACCGGAGAGGCTAACGAGGACCAGGTCCGTGAGGCGCTCAGAAAGTACAGAGAGCGGGAGTGTTTCGTCCGAGAGGCCCTGCTCCATCTCTACAGTCTAACCGCTGACACTGAAAAGCCACAGCCTGACACGCTGAAGGTGATGCTGCTTTCATTTCACACTCGACGCAGCTCGTCTCGCTTCACCTCAAGGCTTTTATTCAAGTTTTAAAATTTAGAACCGAGTCACCACACAGATCTTTACAGCTACTTTTCACAGACAAGAAGCAAGTTCCAACAAATTCTAATTTATGTTGACCTGCAGAAAAGAAAAGAATCTGACATGGTAAATGGACTCTGCTTACACAGCACCTTTCTATCCAACCAGAATACTCAAAGTGCTTTAAATCATCAGGGGCCTCATGTATAAAGGAGTGTGCAGATTTCACACTAAAATTTGACACACTGGCAAATTTAGAAACGTGCGCCGCACCAAAATATTCAGATGTATAAAACCATGCATACGCATGTTCCTGTGCAGCTTTCCTTTACACATCCCAATGAGCGTGGAACTGAGCGCATGTGAGACTCCTCCCCTGACACGCCTCCATTTAAATCTGTAAAATGGATGTAAATGTGTCCAGCGTGTGAGATTCTCCTCCGATTCCTCTCTGTGGGATCAGAAATGATTTTTAGATGCAGGAAAATTATACATTAAATGGAGAATGAGTGAGAAAACTGTCTAAATAAGTAATGGGTGTCTTTGTTTTATGTGGCGCATTCTCACGGGATAACCAAAGCCTGAGATTTTCCTGAAATTTACAGACATCTCCCGAACGTGATATTGAAGTCTGGTTAGTTGTTGTCTATTTAGTTGAACACGGCATTGAACGGACGTTAAAAAACAAACAATAGAAAAAAACAATAAACATCAAGTTATCCACTTTTTCCTCTTTCCTTTCCTCCTGCGTTACAGCAGGCGCTGTCATCTCCACAGACCCTCATCCCACCGCCACGAGCGGGTACGAGTGGTAGCCTACGGATTTTTTAGCAAAAAATATACATTTTTGAGGCTCATTAGACAGGTAAACGTCTAAAGGGGTTGACACATATGAACAGCTTCCCAGCTGGCGAGGGTGCACACGCGCCTGGTGCGAGTAGCTACCCAAAGCTCAGCTGCTGCGCTACGGCCACAACTCAACTCAGCATCAGCCTGAAGGTTACACACAGAAAATATAATTATTCTTACCGTACAGTGAGACACCATTTGCATCTGATGTTGCTCCCTCTCTTCAGGCTTTTTTGTTTTATTAATTTTTTTAATGCCCCACGTAATGTGTCGGGCTTTTCCGGCCCGCGGGACCCAAAAGGTTTTCAACTATGTGACAAAAATATAGAAACAGTTTACAGACTGGACTGAGGTTCTTTTGATCATTTTTAAACTGATATATTTTCTTGTCTGAGGTTAAATGATTTTCAGTCCCGGGGTTCAGTTTCATGATCGTTCGAGTTTAAAACAATAAAAACTCAAACTAAAATAAAAATCTAACACTGTGTTCAGATGCTCCTTACATCCAGAAAACACAACAGAGTCATATTTCTGTGGATTCAGGTCAGATTCATGACTTTGTGAGTTAAAACTGTCGACTGAAAAACTTTGCATGGCTGCCGCACGTTCTCACGGCAGGTGAAAAGTGTGCGTAAATATACGCACACTTTCACACAACGTTGGTTTTGATACATCCCAACGTGGGCGTAGAACCTGGCGCACGTAACGTTTTTGTGGGTACGCACCGTTTATACATGAGGCCCCTGGGGACCCTTGACTGGGGTGAAAAAAATTACCGAGACCCCCTCATGAACCCCATTTGAACCCCTAAATACCATGGGAATATTATTTTTTGTTTGGTTTATTATATTTAGTTTACTAATGCATTTACCATGTGCAGTTTTTAAAACAAAAAACAAATTGTAGTCCCCTGGGGGCTAATCACATTCATACACTGATGGGACACATCAGAGGCATTAGTGTGAAGTATCTTGCCCAAGGACACAACAAATGAGACAGATAGAATAGGGGATTAAACCGGCAACCTACCGGTTTCAGGACAACTCCACTAACCACTCTGCCACAGCCGCCCCACGATCACATCAAACTTAAAGGGATAATTAGTTTTTTAAGAGGTTTATATGGAAAATTTATAAACATTTAATATCTTCCCTGCAGATTGTTTTTTGAGTGACCTCAGTTTGGAGAGTGTTTAATTCTGACAGGACTGTTGAGCTAACAGCTAGTCTGCTGTCCAAAAACAACGTAATCTTCAAACGTTCAAAGCTTTTGAGACAAATGCTCACACATTTATCAGTTTTTTTATTTCAAATAATGACACCGGATTTTGTGGTTATTTGTAAACACAAATAGCAGCAGCAGCTGTAGCATTTCTGCTGCAACTGGAGAGTCACTTGGAACTTTTTTTTTTTTGCACAACAGAAATCTGTCGTTGAATCTCAAACTTTTGGTAGATGCTCTAAATTTTTGGGTTGAACTCGAAAAAGTTTTAAACTCAGAGAACATGAACAGCCGGGGCGGGGCCTGAGGATGAACTACTGTAAAATGTGTCCCTATTGGTTAATGAGGACTGAAGCAATTTCCTCTTGCACCTCTTCCACCTGCTTCGAATGGTGTCAATACTTTAAATTACTGTTATTGACGGTTATCAGTCTCATACAATGAGTCTAGTCCAGTGTTTCCCAAAGTTGGGGTCGGGACCCAAAGTGGGGTCCCAAAACATCAAGGTGGGGTCCTGAAAAGATTTTCTGAGTTTTTGCCATAGTTGTTACAAAGGAGTGAGGTTAGTATATTTAAAATGGATAAAAATATTGTTACTATGCCCATGTTTTGTTGACCTGATACAAATGTTTATCATCCAAAAACAGTTGGGGGCACAGGTCTCTGCTACTTTTTGTGGGTCAAAAGCTGAAAAGTTTGGGAACCACTGCACTTTGGTTCCCAAAGTTGGGCTTGGGACCCAATTATGTGTCATGAAGCACCTTGGATAATCTCCAGATATCAATTTAAAGGGTAATAAAATAATTGTTGATGTAATATTTTCCCTGTAATTATTACAAAAACACAAAATAAGTATAAATAAGTATTTATATTTGTGTACAAGCTGTTTAGATTGTCAAAAAGCCTGTGTTTTTAGGGTTATTAACGAAATCCGTGTACTCAGACCAGTAATATTTGGGGTCACAAGATTTTGCCATGGATATTTTGTGGGTCAGAAGATAAAAAGCTTGGGAACCACTGGTCTAGACTGTTCCTCCTCTAACTCTTAGTACAGTGGTTCCCAGACTTTTCAGCCTTTGACCCTCAAAATACCTGCAGCAGAGACCTGAGCCCCCACCTGTTGTTGGATCAGAAACATTGTTTTCACGTCAAAAAAATAAGAACATAGTAACAATATTCATTATGCTATTTTTGTCCATTTTAAGTACACTAATCTTACTCTTTTGTAACAACAAAGGCAAAAAAATGTTAGTTGTTAATTTCTAATATAATTAATTCAGAAAATCTTTTCAGGACCCCATCTTGATGTTTTGCGACCTGATTGTGGTCCCAAAATTTGGGAACCACTGTCCTAGTAGGTTGGAAGGCACTTATCAATCATTTCTATGCCTGATAATATGCATTTAGGTGCAGTGGTTTTGGCTCCTCCCCCAGGACTCAGAACTCAAGCAACTGGCCCGTCTCACTGTCCTTTGGCCGGGAAAAACATTCGATCTGTGACACGGAGATCCAGCTGGTGGAAAAAAAAAGATACTATCTGATTGGGTGAAAAGTGGATTAAAGGTGTTTATGCAAAATTAGTTGTTGAGGGCAAATGTACAGCAGTGAGAAGAGCTTCAGTTTTTCCTCTTAAACACACGAGCAGGGACTTGTTTAGAACCACAACATGTTAGAATCATCTCAGTCTTTACTCTGCAGAGGAGAATTCTGATTTTAACCTCGTCCAGATGCAGCATATAGTTGCATGGACTCTGAGGCGTCTGCAGTGGACCATCACATGAAGTGATGAGGTGATGAGTTGAAAAAAAAAGAAGTCAGACCAAAAAGGAAAAGAAGCATCTGGACTGTTGTCAGGAACAAATCCATAAAGCCCGGTTCTGTCATGGTTTGAGGTTGGATTAAGAATTAAAGCTCGGTCTGTGTGTGACGCAGCACAAACACGGAAAAAGCAGTTGAGGATTTACAGCAACATGCTGCCCTCAAAGCCACGGTTTGTTTGGACAAAAACATTAGTGTCTTTTCCATCAACATCACATAAAACATCTCAAAACCACGGCTAAGGAGGGAGAAGGTTCTGGAATGTCCTGACCCATTCCCAAAACCGAATCTGTGGAGAATTTAAGAATAGAAATCGTAATTTACGCACATGACAAATGGAGCGAAACATAAAGCACGTCATTGTTGCAAGGAGGAACGATACTGACACAACTAAAAAATAAAAGCAGAAATATATAAAAGGACCAATAAATAAATAAATACACTTAAAAGGCACTTATTAATTAAAAAGGGAGAACTTTACCTCATGTTTTATAATTCAACTGACCATCAGTTTTATTTTTCCTGCTTAGATCCAACAAATTATATATTTTAGAACATAATATATATGTATATATGT